CCATCCCGCAGACTACACAACACCTCCCAGATGTCAGCCACAGCTCCTAGAGCATGCACCATCTTTGAGATCACACCCTTCGAATCACACCCTACCCTATCAGGGAGGATGCCTTTGTTCTCACCTTGAACAGAGGCACGCCTCCATCCTACAAACACACCATCAAACCATGCTACATCCCAACTCCTACACAACACTCCAACACCAACATGATCTCCCCTCCTGCCCTCGGCACCAGCCCAATCCAGTCCCCCCTATCCTCCTTCTATTGACCAACAACCCCTCGAACAGCCCACAACACCAGCAGCCACTGTGCTCCTCTGGGAACCAACCACTGCCATTGTGTCATTTGACCCCATCTTTTGCTTGCTTGTTGGCCTCTATCTAACAATTTTTGTGCATTGGATGGGTTACACCCTGCTCTGGTCCAGCCTGAGGATACCACCTCCTACGGGCTCTGCTGGCATCTTGCCTTGCATGCAAGGCCCTTGCCACAGCTTGGGACCTGATCACCCAGACACACTTACTGGCGAGCACTCTTTGGTCTGGCAATCTAACTGGTCTTCACGGTCCCTATGGTGATAATGGTTTCAATACCGACAAAATCCTGTGTAAGCCCCTGTAACCAGGTTTTGCGCTGCAGGTTCCCTATCAATGTGCTCACCCCCTACCGGGCATCTGTCTACTTGGTGCTGGCTCCACGTTGGGCCAGTGGATGAGGTCATGTTGATTGGGCAAATAAGTAGATGACGACTCAGCTAGGTGGGGGCTTCCCCACCCATTGCCCGCGTCACAAAAGCCATCTCGTGGCCATAGTTTGTAAACTAACGAGTAATTTACATACAAGCGAAAGGTCGTATAGCATGGGACCTTCTCTGGTTCTTCGATCAGCTTCTGTTTCTCTGTAAGAAGTCCCTTTGCTGTGTAGATATACCTCCATCCCCTTTCGCGAAGTAGACGCCAGTAGATAGCCCTCTTTGTGAAAGCCGTCGGTAGTTCAATGATGTCATCATCCTTGGTAGCAGTCGTGACGGTGTTGTTCGACTTGCAGAATTCGGACACAAGACATGTTGCCCTTGGAACTGCATGGGTCTTGAGTTCTTCAAAGAACCCCTTCAGAACAGCATCCATCTCCAAGTTCCTTCTGTTGCCAGGCTTGTTCGAAAGTCCATGCACTGGTGCTCCACCCTTCTTCGCCAGCTTGTTCATGGAGCGAAAAGCGTCTTCTCCAATTCCAAGCAACCGGCACAATCCATCTCTGCAGATCATGAGTCTTGTTCCAGGAAGCAGGAACACTAGGCGTGTCAATGGCCGTCTGCCTGCTAACTCATTGCGCAGCTCACTGATGTGCTCTGAGTACTTGATCCACTCTATCAGTAAGGACCGTTGTTCCTTCCAGTCCATGAGCGAATAGTCCAAAATATATTGAGCCATCTTGTTCATATTCTCCCCTTCCATCTTGAAGCGACTACCCATCATGCACCTGCAGTTGGTTGCACGGGCCTTGTTGTTGATGTTGATGCAGTCCCCTGCTTGTGTCAGCTCCAGGTAGTGGTGTTGAATTGCCTCCACACGCAGCCAGATGGCTTCTCCAGTTTCCTTCTTGATCTGACTTCTTGCCCTGTGAATCTCGATGCATGGGCTCTTGCCCTCATAAGGTTCTCTTGCACCCTGCTCTGGGGTAATCACAGCATTGGCTTTACTTGCGGGAGGTGTTGACATGGTGCACTGGAGAGGTTTCCTCTAGTTTCGAACGATCGTTGTGCCATCGTGGTTGGATGCAGTCAATACGGACGTTTGCGATTGTATCTTCGCTTGGAAGCAAGTTTCGCTGAAATTCGGATAAAGTGAGGCTAGTTTAGCGATCAGTTAAGTAATTATTTAAATCCCACGCCAGTCAACCAAGATCCCGCCTAAACAAAGATGTCAAAGGAACGATCGCACCAACGGTTGTCGCAGCTTGTTTAAGGTTGCGACATTATCTTCCGACCGTCGGGCGTTATATTCAACTACACCGCTGGATAGAGCATAAAATTTCCTACGTTCTGAGTCTCGTTATTTTAAAAGGTCGCACATTTGCCCCCCTGACGACGGACAGAAGTGGTGGGGATTTCAGTGCGCCGGGTCTTACTTAGCCAGAGATTATTGCTCAGGATCGTTCCTAACCAGTCATTTTGACCTCTTTATTCCTCCGTGCATACGCGAAATCAAGATAACTGTTAAAGTCGGCTGGCTTTCCCTCTTTTTGCCCATTAATTTTGGTACGGCCAAAGAAGGCTAACAGATATACACAGCTAGTAGCTTGTAGGGTACCCTCAGGTTGCTTGTTAGCCTTCTCGGTTGTCGAGATTGGTCTGCTAGTATGACCGTACGGTAGCTTCGATCCTGTTATCTCTGAGTGACAATTCGATTCCATTCGATTCGATTCGATTCGATTGAAACATTCGATTCGATTCGCATTTGGGCCTGTTTCTTTCCCGTACTGCGTATGTGTGTCACATGGATAGGAATGAAATCTTGATACGTACGCCTAAATAAATCGATGAAAATAAATGTGTTTCGCGTATGCACGGAGGACACACATGGAGTTTGGTTAGGAACGCACCTCAGCCCAAGTGCTATTTTATGTGTTTCGCTTCTTAGGCTAAGTGTTAACTACTACTAGGAGTAGTACCGGTACCGGTACCAGATACCACTGGCTAGCTACAGCAGTACAGGACCTCTGTGGAAATGTCATTCGTGGCAAATTACTTAAGAGACGATACACCGAGGCTTATAAGACGATCGAAATGATTTAAGAGACGAAAGCAATCGTCTCCTATATTTAAGAGACGATTCATTAGGAGACATTCCATTTAGGAGATGATCGTTATAAGACGAACGAAATAGGAGACGATCCGAAAGATTTAAGAGAGGATACCATACAGTTTACATGGTGCACTTCTAAAGGAGACGATCCGTTGAGAATAGGAGACGATCCGTTGAAAATAGGAGAAGATTTAAGAGGAGACGAAAGCTTTAAGAGACGATCCGTTTCGTCTCCTATTTTTAGGAGACGAAATCCATTAAATAGGATACGATCAAAAGGATTTAGGAGACGATCGGTAGCACGACTCAAGTTTCCACAGAGGTCCTGTACGGTACATGTAGTGACAGCATGACATTGCGATGTACGCCGAGTCGAGTCGCCGAGAACACGGTCTATTAAATAGCAAGTGTGCTGTCCATTGTCTTGTACACGAAGCTTGTAGCTGCGCTATCGTCGGTAAGTTCCATTGTGGCAGGTGGTCGGACGAGATTCAATATTTCCCACACCATGGGACAAGAATCGCTTCGGCATGGTAACGATTTGATTTACTGTCTCGAAGGGCAGAGCTGGAATTTTGTTATCGTGCCAGGAGGCCCAGAGAGCAGGCCTGAGTTTGATAAAAAGCATGGAGACTACGATGAATACGAGGGACCGCTCCAATGTGAAGATGTGAAGATGTATGAGGTACCAGGTACCAGTTACTAGTACTGGTATGCGGTAGTACCGGTACTGTACCGTACCTCATGCCGTCAAGACGGTCCGATGGTTGGATTTAGAAACAGTCACAGAGAATTATGCGTTTCTGTTTTGACCGTAGCTTTGATCATGAGAATATTAAAAGCACAGGTGATTCAGTCATCTTTATACACTGTAGAGTGCTCGGAGCTCGGAGCGATTTTCCAGATGGTTGAAGGATGACTTACTTGCTGTGATGGATGAGGTTCTTTGCAGTTTCCACAGTGCACAGTTAGTTGCAGTTTGGCAGTTGGCTGACACAGACAACATCGTCTTGTGTGCGACACGAGGCTTCACCGGTTCTTTTGAAAAGTTTCTCGCTCTCACATCTCACACGCACAACGCACAGCCAACTTGCATCTTGCGACAACGCGCGCTCTGTTGCTGCTCTGTATGGTACAGTGTACGTAGACTACTCTTGGTATAATCATCGAGGACGTAAAAAGAACATTCCTCTTTTGTGCTTTGTGTCGAAGTTGCTTCAGTTAGGAATTGGTTGTTTTTACGATAGTGGTTTCCAAGCAACCACCACAAAAGTGTTAAAATGTACTCCCAAAACTCGAAGTCATACACAAGAAGATCTACATGTACCCAAAACTCATTCATAAGAATCAACCCCGCTTGTTGTGAGTACAAATCTATCTGAGACGATCAGATTCGATTCTGAGCTCCTTGGACCCTTGGTTTCTTGTTTCTTGGCTTGTTTTGTAGAACCAGAACATCTCAGGATCAAGGAGATTCTTAAAACAAAGCAGTAGCTGATAAAGTTCAGGAACAACCTCTCAGATTCATTGGCCCTTTGGTCCAACCATTCTCCCTGCTTCCGTGGTTTTGAAGCATAGACTCTAGAGGAGCAACCTAGCTAGGCCTTCCGTTCCATCTGCCGTGGCCAAACTAGATGGCATAGCCTGACACTTTTTCTGACAGGCTAGCTAGCAAAATAATCTATTTCTGCATTATTCATTTTTATTAAAACCTGATACCAGGTACCGGTAGCCGGTAGCTCATCTTCTTATTTGAGAGAATGTACCTACCGGGACCAGCCACAGATCCACAAATCACAGAAAATGACTGTTTTTGGATCGAATGATGCAATCTTCAATCCCAACTGGACATGGTTTGAATGTCCATAATTACATGAACATGTAGATCCAGTCATAATATGGAACAAGCTGGCCCGAGCATCTGTCTAGTCTGTGCGCTGTGCGCAGTGTGCAGTACAAGCACCGTAACGGTACCGGTACGGTACTAGCTAGGTACATGTAGCTTCGTGTGCCAGGAGATAATTTTAACAGCTTCGAAAGGGAGGATTCAGTCGAGTCGAATGAATCGAATCGTCTCTGTTCACGGTACCATGTACCAGTACCGGTGCAGCGAGCCCACTGTCCATGTTCGGTGATGTGCTTCTTTAATTTACGGGCATTGCTTGATGATGCCCAAACAGCAAACAGCAGTCGAAAAAATGCATGAAGCTGTGGTACTAGTACTATTTTATTAATAGCTAGTAGCCACTGTACTTAGAAATGAGAAGTGGTGAGTGGTTGAGGCAGCTCCAATTCTTGTTCACAAACCCAGCACGCGCCTCAACACTTGCCACATTAAAAGCACCTACATTGCTCCAGGTGATAGCTGCTCTTCCCCACATATTAGCTGAAGCGAATCTTGTGTGTCAACGCAAGTTTAAACGCGATAGACTCGTTGAGAATTCATTGATATCTTCTTTGGTGTAACTACAGTAGCTTGCTGGTCATAGATAGACGCGACGATGGCATCCCTGCGAAGAGTGGCCGAACTCAACAATAGCGGAGCTTCGATGCTCGTGGCGGCGCGAGATAAGGATGCATTCAAGACACTTCAGACCGCCTTGACGATCATGGAACAAGAGATGATGACGGCTCCCGACAAGAGCGAGTCTTCAGACTCAACAGCGAGCACCACCAGTACAAGACGATCTAGTAGCTCCACCGACTCGTCACTCGACGATGCGGATGGCGCGGCGGCTTCGGTATCTGAAGCAGCGGCCAGTGCCAGCCTGTCAAGCAACACCGCAGCTCGGTTCTGTATTGACACCAAGTGCTCCACAGCAATCCCAGAGCTGAGGGATGACCGGTATTTCATCTTTAACCAAGCCCTCCTTGTGGAAACGCGAGACAACACCGCAGAGCAACCCCCGCCTTCAGCTGAGTCTCAACAGCATGAAATCGCGACAACGGATGACTCCTCGCCCTACCCCCAGTCGCTGGTCTGCTTCTATACAAGTGTGGTCATCTATAACTTGGCTTTGGCCTACCACAAGCGGGGCATGTCAGCTGCCTCGGCCTCGAATTCATCATCTTCAGGATCGTCTCTAACGGGAAACACCGGGTTGAGCAACGCAGACTACTCCCGGATGGCTCTCTCCCAGTCACAACGACTCTACGAACATTCTCTAAAGATCATCAGGAGTATTGCCAACTACTCGGAAGATTGCAAGATGCTACTCTACGCAGTTTCCTGCAACCTAGCTCACCTCTATTGCCGAAAGGGGGATCGATGTAGAGCACAAGAGCTCTTGAATGGTTTGGAAGAAGCCAACCGACTGAGCTATCAGAACATACTTAACTGATGCGAATGGCTGGCAATGGTGGAGCTACTGCGGTTCGTTTTGGATTGGCACCAAGTCACTTCGCCATCCAGCCAGCCAACCTGCCCATCGGAGGTCATGCATTATTTGTTTTGATTACCCCAACCAGTCATGAGTCGATGTATCTCGCCCTCCATGGTCTTCTACGCTACGCCTACAAACAATTTCTAGGAGAGACCAGGCATGTCATGTGGTCTGCTCGCAGACAACTTAATAAAACTTCTGCTACCGGCAGGTGGAAAGGAGACATCCATGTAACATCTAGCTAGAAAACCTTGCTTTTGACAACAAGTTGAGTACTTGCTATCGGTAATAGTACCCAAGGCTGCAGTTGCATTGCCGAGTCCTAGCCATGATCGTGAAACCTGGATTAAATACTACACAGTGTAGTAGTGTTGTGATCATCCAGCCCGTATCCCTAGCTACCGTTAGCTGTGACAGATGAATTGGTAGAAGCTGTCACAATGGTTACAAACCAATTGCCAGGCCTCCTGTCCGCAAATGACTGCGCCACTTGGATTTAGCTGGCAAGCGAAAGGTATCCTCGCGATCTATTGCCTCCTTATTACTCTGGTGTTGAGGGCGACTTGGACTGCTTCAAAGAATACAAACCAGTGGCTGATGTAAGTATACTCTAGCTAGTTAGCTAGCCAGTAGTATCGAGCACTGCCCTCGAAATCTCTTTAGCAGAACACACAAAGAGAGAGAGAGAGAGACAGAGAGAGGACATCATGTCCCTGGGCTTCTGGATTCCTTCGCAATGCAACTGCCCCAAAGTTTCCTTGAATTTCTCTCCTCAGTCCTTTCCACCCTTCAGCAGTTTGCCATGAAGAGGCATCGCACCGGCAAGCTAATGCTTTTTTGGGACGACTCAGACGACTAGATCTGCTCAGTCAACCCCATGGCTGCATCATAGGTGGCTTGTGCTTGTCAAAACCCACCTAACAGCCGACGAGTATACAGTCTAAAAACTACAATTCTTCATGCATGCTCAGCGAAGCTCTCAGTGAGCAAACAGCAACGCTCTCGAGACAGTGCCTATCGTGCGTTACTCGGCACTACCGTACCTAGCCACAAGAAGGCCATCGCAAGGCAGCCAGCAACCCAGGTATGTGTCACTAAAATCAACTACTATTACACAGAAGACCTAGCTAGGCTTAGGGGTGAACTCGCTCCAAGCAATTTGAGTCTAGAAAGGGAATTGGAAGGTTGCATGGAGAGGACAAGCAGCAGGTAGCAACAGCCAGGCAGCCAGGTTTTCGTGCCTGGTGATCATCGCTGCATTCGATTTCCCTGTGGCGCGGACGGACCTCCATCGCCTGCCTCGATTTCTTCAACCATCTGGCCACTCATACATCCGATGGCAATCACCTTGACGGACCAGATACCTCTCCAAAGAGTATTAACAATTTCACAACAAGCTCGACTGGCCCGTCCTGTGGCTCCGCCCAAATCTTGGGCTCCTTCCGAATCCTGAGCCAAACAGGATATACAAGCACCGGTAACCCACACACAGCAGGCGAGCATACAGCACTTGCTGGCAATCTCACCGAAAAAGGCAACGCACTTTTCTTGGCGAATTTCTGTGGGATCCGAGCCCAGGTTTCGTTCCTGCTTCATCATTCGTCTGGTGACATCAAACGCGCAACATGTGGACCAGAATCCAGCCGCGCACCATACTTCAAAGCATAAAAAGGCATCGGGACAATCGGATTCCCCGTAGGTACCAGATTCAATGGTGATGGGTGCTCCAGGGCAACGTCTTGCCATGCACTGAGGTCCATCATGCATACCTTTTTAGAACAAGATACGTATAACAAGATACGGTGGCGTGTTAGCAAAAAATTGAGAGAACATTTCTTATTTCCGACAAATATCTTTTGGAACCGGAAAAGACTAGCTAGACTAGTAGTACATCCTAATTTGTTTTCCTGCAGACTGGACTCACCTTGCCAAAGCTTGTATTTGGTCATATCACCGCCCAAGGCTTTCTTTCGCAGGTACCATTGACCGCAAGGGCAGCACATCATGGCCCCACAACATTCGATGGGTCGTCTCGTGGGAGTTTCCAACATGCTGATTCTCCATCCTCCAGTGTCCGTTGTCTCTGGGTCAAAGCAAAAGATGATAGGAAAGGCCAACGGCGAACCAAACACCCAAATCAGATCCGCAAAACATTCCAGGAATGGAGTCACAGACTCCAAGCAGTCGGCGCAATGGCCACAGCAAGCATCGCAGCCACAGCCATCCTGAACGAACTGAGGGCAAGCGCCGTCTACCAAATCATGCACAAAACCTCGTTCTTCTTCGCTCATGGTCGTGCAGTGTTGGTGCCGAGAAAGTAGAAAGGTGATCTTCCGAAAAGATGAGCCCAACGGTTTTCTTTGGATTGCAAACAGCAGAGCTGATCAATCACTGGTGGCACGGACAAAACGTCACGGATTTCGCCGCAACCACGGCAGCACGGCAGCAAGCAACAGAAAATACATCATTGTGCCCTCCTCCCCTCGAGCTCTGTCCCATCCTCATCTTAGCTCTCCCTAGTCCATAGTAATTCCCCATTTATATCAACAGTCAACCAGTATCAACACAACTATGAAAGAACACTTGGATAAGGAATCATTTGAAGGAGAGGAACATGCCATTGAACTATCGACGCTTGAATCCTATAGTGACGCTTGTGGGGATCTGGAGGATGGTGCCATGGTTGAAGGGGAGGGGATCTTTCGCAATGGGTACATGCCAGTGGGATCCTACCGATTTTCTCGCTATCCAATTAGAATAGCATGTGCTGTTTCGTTCATAGTGGCGGTGCTACTGTGTGTCGGTCTTCTTGTGATTCCCAAAAACGATACCAAGCCACAGAATCAAGAGCCAGAAGAACACCCACCCTACACGTCCGTGGACTATCGAACACACACCAAAGCCACACCCACTCCTACGGTAGCACCGACCTTGGACTATTCGGTCCTACCACAGAACCTATCCGATTGCATTCAGAGTCGAGACCGACTCTTGGCAGCCGTCGATGCCTATCTGTTTCTCAAATTCAGCCGCCAAAATCAAACGACAAATCCACTATCCATCTCAAACTGGTGCGTTCATTCCATTCAAGACATGCGACACCTTTTTGATTACGACCGAAATCCACTAGCTAGTCAGTACAACGAGCCACTGAATCACTGGAATTTCAGCAGTGTCATTCATTTCACCCAATTCTTTCAAGGAGCCAAATCGTTCAATCAGCCGGTAGATATATGGGATACCTCTAATGCCATTTCATTCAAGGGCATGTTCTTTGGTGCGGACACCTTTAACCAACCACTGAATGCCTGGGATACTTCTCGAGTTGAAACCATGTCATCCATGTTTCGCTCAGCAGACTCCATGAATCAACCACTCGATCAGTGGAATGTCAGCCAGGTATTGGAAATGTCCCACATGTTCGATGGCGCCAAGACGTTCAAGCAGAATCTGTGTTCTTGGGAACCACAGCTAGCTCCCAAGATGGATCATCGGCTAAAACTTGATTCGGTGTTCTTGGGTACCCAGTGCCCCACCAAGATGGATCCCCTTGTTGTCCGTGATGGATATGATGATGCTACTGAAGCACCAATTGTTCATCTGGATCCTGCGGGACCGTTTTGTTTCACATGTCATGATCGGAGGCTCTCCTAATAGAATGGTGCGGATTGACTTTGGATAACAGAACAAAAACATCTCAGTGTTGGAAATTGCATAACTGAGTGTATGACAGATTTGTTTTTCTAACTCAATAAGGTTTTTGAATCAACCACGTTGGACAGCTCCCTTGCGTTGTTTTGATATTCAGGTTGTGTTTCTTTGCAAAATCTTCAACTGCCCCCCTGGCAGACCTTGGTTGGTGACTCCCATCTTCGCACTTGGGCCAGTTTTCCACTGGCCCCACTCGATCAATCACGTATTGTGCATCCACAAAGTCATGTCCCGCCATGATCCCACCCGGCCGCAATGTGTGCCAATATTGCTCGATTTCTTCTGCTATGGCACAATAGTCGGGACCGGCATCAATATAAACATAGTCAAAGTCGTCTTTTTTAAACTTTGTGGCTGCATCTGTGGATCTCATGTCGTAGAAATCTGTGATTTTCTTGAATGGGTGTAGAAGACGTCGGGCATTGTCCAGATGTTCTTTGTTGAAGACGTGGCCACTGCAAAATGATCAGAGGATAATTCCAATGAGAAAAAATAAATAATAGGGCAATACACATTCCTTCAAAGGGCATTGTCCACTTACCTGCCCCAGAGATCAATTAGCGCATACTTTTCACATGATTTCCAGGTTTGCAAAGTCCTTAGAGCCAATAGTCCCCGCTGAACACCCACTTCAGCGCCTCGCTTTAATTTGAGGAGCTCTAGATTTTGATGTATGTCAGTTCGTGCCCGTAAATCGGGCCAATCTGACAGCAGCGGTTGTGGCTTTTCCCACCAATTCTGGGACGTGGTAGTAGACATAGTTGCAGTAGAAGTCGTTACAGCAGTAATAGTTGTCGGAGACACAAGAGCAATATGGCCTCGAAACTGAGACTGTTGGAAGAACACAACCACAAACAATGCCACAGTGACAAAAGTGTGCAGTGAAGGTACCGGTAGCCGGCATCTTGACCCACGATTGGCTCCCTGTGCTAATAAGCGCTGTTTCCGTCTGCTGAGACGAGGCATGGTGATGCAGTGGCGATAGATGACTTGCACGCCCCTATGTATTTGTTGTGGCTGGTTTGACGGTACCAGGTAGAGGGTGATGAGAGATAAGATGCTTCTGTTGTGGTTTGACGTTCGAGGGTGATGAAAGATATTGAACCTTGGTTTCCGGCCTCTTCCTGGTCCGCCGCCGGCTACCCTACTTCTGTTTTTTTAAGCTCTTCTAGCTAGCTAGTAGAGGTATCGTTACCCGTCGCTAGTAGCTCGATTTGTATCATACTCTTCTCCGATTACGATGTACTAGCGACCACGATTGCGATTTCGCGAAGAGGTCGACAAGCGGTAAACTCCTTGAAATTGTGAGGATCTCCGAGCGTGGGCTTGCTTTCGGAACGGCGGACCACATCGAATACCGGACCGGCTTATGCGGGACCGGGACCGAAAAGATATTACCAACTACTATTAATAGTACTATTATGTCATAGTAGCTACCGGTACCGGTACCGGTACGGACGAACATTTAGCTCGGAGATTTTGATTGGCTGAGTAGCCTTTCTTGCCAACGGTACCGGTACTGTACTGTACCAGTTTTCTGCACAATTGTTTAGAGCTTACGGTCCGTTAATTAAAAGAGGCCTTAAAACAGCAAGGTGACCTTGAAAGGTGTAACAATCCTTCTAATAGAAATCATTGTCCGTCAATCAATTGAACGACTGAGTCTGAGTGAACCCATCTCTCATGCTCATTTTTCTTCCATTTTTGTTCCTCAGCTCGGATCCAAGCCTTCAAAAGCTAGACAAAAGGTTGATACCTTGCAGGGAAAGGACTCAACAATTCCAGAAGGAACCCCAAAGATGCCGATCTTGAGCGATGTTCAAGAATGTTGCAGGGATTTCCGATCGATGTGCATCAATGTAAACTTGAGCCAAGACGACCATGCTCTGACTGTGCTCATAAAATAACTTTCATTCTTCTCACAAGGAAATCAAAAGCAACCGAAACACCCAACATCACGATGATCATGCAACCCAATCAGATTTTAATTCTCGGAGGAGGCGTTGCTGGACTCTCGTCTGCCATTGCTCTTGGTCGCCGTTTCCCCTCTGCAAAGCTCACGATCATTGACAAAGCTTTGACTTCCCAACGCGACCCGGGCTTTGGTATGTTGCTGATGATCAACGGGGTGAAGGCTCTTCAGGATCTTGGAGCCTCTGAAATCCTTCAAGACTTTCAGCCCATCAAAAGGAGCCTTATCAAGGCCAAAAACGGAGAGGTGGTCTTTGATGAAACGTTCGGGGAAGGGCAGATCTACTGTTGCTCTCGCGAAAAGCTTATTGCTGGGTTGGAAGCAGCATTCCAGCGGAACGTACCAACGTTTGAGCAGCTCCACAAGAGGTGCGTTGCGGTTGATGTCTCGGCGACGGGTTTCGTGACGAAAATCACAATGTCCGACAAAACCGATCTCTGCGTCGGCCCAGAAGATCTTATCGTTGCCGCCGACGGTGTGCACTCGGTGCTCTGCTCCACTCTCAACTCTGGCATGGATCGCCCAGTCAGTACAGTCAACGAGCTTGTGTCTTCCATATATGCTCCTGAGCTCGCCGAGCAAATCGGTAACACCTTCCACAAGACCGTAATGTGTGCAGAAGGTCTTGGATTTGGTCTGGTGGCCCCGACTGCCACTCACGTCATTGGTTTCATTCAGTTCGATACCTCCAAGCACACCATCCCAAAGTCCACTGAAGAACGACGAGCTTTGTACAACTTGGCAGTCTCCAAGATTGATGCTTGCAACCCGCACAAGGAGTTTTTTGCCAAGTATGCTTCCATAGTCGATGTCGTGGGAGCCTCGCACATTTGGAAGCCAATTAACTGCGAGTTGCCCTCCAAGCTACATGTTAAGAATGCAGTGTTGGTTGGAGACGCTGCTCACCCATTGTTACCCTTCACCAGTCAGGGAGTTGCGGCTGCCCTCGAGGATGCACTGGCATTGGCTGACGCTTTGGCACCCGAGGCGACTATCGAGTCTTCCCTCATCAATTTTGAACGAGTACGTCGTCCAATTGTAAACGAGTATCTACAAGGAGGGAAAAGAATCCTCAAGGACTTTCTCCAACCCGACGGATCAATTACATTGCAACCATACTGTGAAGGTAGAAGGCAAGAGGCCAAGGCTCCAGAGACAACCACATTGTTCACCAATGATCAAGTGGACTTCAAACAGCTGTCCAAGAAGGCATACAACTACCGATGGGCAACTCTTGGAGAGGGCATCATTCCTTTGACAGCCGCAGACTCTGACTTTCCTATTGCCCAGCCGATTCGAGAAGCCATGCACGAGTACATTGAAGACGGCTACATGAACTATGGCCCAGCAACAGGTCTTCCAGAGCTCAAGGAAGAAATTGCGGACAAGCACGATTGCGATGCAGATCAAGTTTTCATCACGAATGCGGCTGCTTCGAGCATGTTCCTCGTGGCTCAACAGTTGGTCAAGGATCCGAACGACGAGGTGCTTCTCGCGGATCCCATTGATTTCTTGTTTCAACGTGCTGTGGAGCAAGCAGGGGGTGTTGTCAAGCGATATGCCATTCACGCTCCTGACAAACACAACCCAAACAGCCATTGGTCCTTTGATATTCAAGACTTGAAAAGGTTGATAACCCCAAAGACCAGAGTGTTGGCGATTTGCAACCCCCACAACCCAATTGGACGCGTCTGGAACCGCAAAGAGCTGGAAGCACTAACCGACCTTGCCATTGAGTACAACCTCAAAATTTGGAGTGACGAGGTCTGGTCAGATATTGCCTACAATGGAGACTTTATCCCGACCGCATCCTTGGGACGAGATGTCGCGGCACTGACATACACTGTGCTAGGATTTAGCAAAGGCTATGGATTGGCTGGACTTCGACTGGGTGCCATTATCGCTCCACAAGCAAGAGATGTTGAAGAGATATCAAAGAGGAGCTTGGCGGACGACACAGGCTACGGGGTTTCGGTGCTTTCACAAGTGGCGGGGTTGGCTGCCTTGAAACAAGCCGGGTACTGGCAGAGGGCGTTTGTGAACCATGTCCGAGGCCAATGCCAACGCTCGGTTGACAGACTGAACAAGATGCCGGCTGTCCATGCTACGATGCCCCAAGGCACCTTTGTCGTTTTCGCAAACGTATCATCCTACCTGGAGAAGTCTGGCATGAACGAAGAAGAGCTGGTAGAGTACCTAAAAGTCGAAACGAAGGTCGCTCTGGTTCCTGGAAGCCCTCGTTTCTTTGGCCCCAGCGCAGCAGGGCATATTCGCATATCAGTGGCAACATCAGAAGCAGTCCTTGAGGAAGCATTGAATCGTCTTGAAAAGGGATTGGCAACACTTCTACTCCGATGCAATCATCTACCCGAATCAAAATCGACTGTTGCCGAAGAAATGGTTCTCCCGAGGAAGCTCCTCAACACGGTGATCCTCCAGAACCAGCAGTTTCGAGGTGCTGTCAAGCCCCCATGTGCACGCCGCGCAGCAAGCTTGGGGTGCCCAGCCAGTAGTCATCGCAGCTAATTCTATAGTAATGCCGCACATTCTAAGTTCAATCGTAGTACTGTACCGGTGCAATAAAACCAAACCATCTCGATAGAGAGAAGAGAGAGAACCGGTCCATGAGGAACATGGACCGGTACGGTATCGGTATGGCTATTGGCATTCCCTAAAGAAGTGCTAGCAAGATAGAATCTGGAGGGACTACAGAATATTGCATGGCCCCGCTGGCTTACTAAATTATTCCACGTTCTTGTCGTCGACCACGCTCTGCGGAATGAATGACGACGTGGTCGCGAGAGACGATCGGAAGCCAACGTTCGTGTTGCTTGAAACCAGAAGCGCATGTTGAGCTTTTCGATCGTTCCACTTGCTTGAGCCGAGAAGACAACTTCCTTTCGACAGAACCATGCATGGACAAGGAAACTAGGGGCCTCGTAGAAGCCTTCCATATGACCGGATGTCTTCTCTTCTTTGTAGGCATAAACAGCTTGCTGCTCAATGGATTTCGCCATTGTATTGTTCGTCTACTCGGCACGGTGGTGAGCCTTTGACGCTCAATTCGAGAATCCGTGTGACACCAACCAAGACAAGCAAGCTCTGAACAACCTCTAACAGGCATTTGAGAAGAAGCAAGGTTACTACGCTTGCTTCATCAATGTCAACGTCAATGCCAATGCCCGAAACCATGACTGCTTCATCCTTCTTCGATCACCCCTTCAATGGGCCTCGTCGGTGCAGTGCCGCTTGCTAAGGTTGCGAGTTTCGTGCGCGGGGAACGACGTAAAAAGCTAGCGGCCGCTCTCTAGTACCAGTACCGCTACACAGTGTAGCAGAGCAAGCAATGATATACTCTAGCTATTAATATGGCGCCGCAAGAAATAGATGATAGTGTATGGTATGGTATGGTGCAAATAGTGAATATTTACAAGTTATTTGTAGCGGAAGGTAATATGTAATATGAGATATTCAGTGCGTAACGTTTCTCGTGTCGGTAATATGTTTTGGATTCGACACTCCATAGCGTTTGGTCAGTAAAGGCGAACGTCATTTACACAGACATACATGTAGTACAGAGAAGAATGAGGACGAGTGGGAAAAGGGGGCTCTGTTTCATGCGGAAGGTGCTGCTGTGGGTTCCTTTGCAAGAGTGATATTCAGAAAGAACTCTTGCAAGTGTTGCTCTTCAAAGAGGGATGCTGAGCCTTGAGCAGAAAGATTAGCAGTGTCTTGTTGGAGATGAATCATGCCTTCTCGGAACTTCTCGTAGTCACCGAGTTTCAAGTATGCGTGGGTAGCATTGTTCCTGGCAGCCAGGAGGAGGGAAGCAGCGGATGCAGTGGAGTCTTCGTGGATCAGATTGCAGCACAGTTGGTAAAAGTGGACGGCCTTTCTCAACTTGTTGAGATCGCCTCTCCTCACGGCGACATGGTGAAAGGTCAGTGCCAAGTTGTAGATGATAATGGCGTTGAAGAAGCTCAGGTCGACCACTTGGGGAGCCATTTCAAAGACCAAAGGCTTGTTGAAGACAAAAAATGCCTCTGTGTCTGCAAAGTCGGCCATCTCCAATGCAGCGCAAACCTTTTCTTGATTGGATCGGAGTTTTCCATAGGCCTCTTCAGTTCTTGAGGTGGCTTCCATGATCTGGATGGCGCTGCGAAATGCCGACAAAGCACCATGAAAGTCATGGTTGGTCAGCATGGTGGCGCCCAAGCAGTTGAGACGGGAAGCTTCTTGAAGGCTGTGGTTGAACATCTTGTTTGTTTGTTGGGTGGGAAAGAAAAGTGGGGGATGGAAACTTACTTTTGCTTCAGATGATGCTCAGCTCAAAATTGTGTGCAGTATGAATGAGGAAGGAGATGAGCAGCAAAGTGCTTTTGTTGAACCATTCCTTCAATAGAAGTCGTTCCAGCCGAGAAAGAAGAAAGAAACCAACCAAGAGAGAAAAAATGATTGGGCTATTGCTTAGGTGTTATATTGCCACCAACTGCAACTTCGTTTGCTTCCGTGAGCGTATCTTTTCTTCCTCTTGCCACGAAATCAACTTGGAGCGTTTTGGTTGGCTGATCAGTCTGATCTCAAATACAAACTCCCGTACAGTCACCGAGAAAGACATCGAGAAAGACACAATCTTGAAAGGTTTACGCCCGACAACTTGCACTAGCTAGTCACAGATCTCTTGGCCACCTTCAACTCTTGCCACAGGGACCTTAAACGAAGGATTTCCATTTCAAACCAGGGCAGTTGGCGTGACAAGATATTTCTCTCAAAGACACGGAAGACCCCTTGGCTTCGTAGTTCTTGGTTTTGAGTTTGACACAACGTGTCAGCAGTCAAGGCAACATTTCTACACAATCGGCCAATGAAGATACCCCAAAATTGACTCACGTCATCGTTTTGAGACGCTCTGAGATTTCGAGTACAGAGACAGCGAAAGGAACTTCAGAAAGTCTCTCAAGAGACGACACCTACATCTGGTTGTCTGTTTGTAAAACCTATTTTGCCGACTAACAAACCTGGTGGACAAGGAAGCGTTGGTCGTGCCCTCCTGGTATTTTCTATAGTACATGCAGCTTTTGATATGGGTACCAGAAGCTCTATGTTTCGGGGTCATCGGCAAAGTCATCCTTGCTGAACGCTGTTGCCTCTTTGAGCTCGACACCCAAAGAGCTCTAAGTCCATTCATTTAGTGGCGAGGAAGGGCTGTTTGCGCTTTGCAACCTGCTTTGTCGCAATTTCAGACAATGAACAATGAACAATTGCTCAGACACGCTATGCTTCATCCTCTTACACCTGCTTGTTTTCCGATAGGCGTGGGTGCCACGGACGACGACACCAACAATAAGTTCATGTTCAAGCGATCTTCGTTTTGGCCACTGGCGTTCACCGACCTGGGTTATGGTACGGGTACCGGTGGCCAGAACTAGCCTCCTTCGTGCCCCCTCTCCCCCTGACGTCCGCGCCGTTGCCTTTATTGACAATGGGATCACGAAAAAATAAATGAGCATTAGGACGTTCCCGTTCAAAGACAGTCGAGAAGTCACCTTAATAGCTGCGGTCGCTCTTCCATCTTCCATCGGCGAGGCAACTCACTCCGTGCTCCGTGATAAATAAATGCATCCGGAAGCCTGTTGAGTATGGCACTTGCCCGAGCCTCCTCCAGCCTCAAGAGCTCCTCAAGCTAGCTAGCTAGCTCGAGTTCTGGTTCTGGAGTGGTGCATGCAATTGGATTTCTCTAGCTCTTGGCTACATGTAGCTCGCTACTAGCCCTACTAGTCGAGGACTTGGCCGGGTACGGTACTACGTGTCGACGTGATACCATCGGCTCCTGAAAGGCGACTCGAGTCCCCCAAGATCTTCAAGAATCTTTGCCACTGACCGCCTGAAGCAAGTCTTGTCAAACCAACAACTGCCTGCAAAATACATGGGAACCCTCTTGCTTCAACAAAGAGATGGAGCACGCAGCCAGCAGCGAGCTGACGGGTTTGCAGCCGGTCCTACCGGTGCCTGCACTGTCAAAGCGAAGCTCTTGGTTGCGTGCTTGGATTGCGCTTCTTCTGCTGTTGGTCTTCGGAACCAGGATGCGGGCATCTTCCTACTCAAGAGTACCGTACATGTAGTCAAGTAAAACAACTGAGAGAAGAGGAATTCTTAGTTGCTGATTAGGTGCGTCAATTGCTACCGGTAGCAGGTGCAGGCCGCCACACAACCACCTCTGCCGCGAAGTTTTGGAGCTATAATGCTGGCGGCAAAGCAACGACAGATTATAGCCAGACTCATAAAGCTAGGTGGGCAAGCTAGCAATGACATTGTAGGAACCTACAGGGCTATTGTCTACCCCTGTCT